AGTGTCCCAGGCTGGGATGGAATTCCCAGGGGGAGCTGTGGCTGCCCCTGCATCCCTGGCAGTGTCCCAGGTTGGGATGGAATTCCCAGGGATGTTGTGGCTGCCCCTGGATCCCTGGCAGTGTCCCAGGCTGGGATGGAATTCCCAGGGATGTTGTGGCTGCCCCTGCATCCCTAGCAGTGTCCCAGGCTGGGATGGAATTCCCAGGGGGAGCTGTGGCTGCCCCTGCATCCCTGGCAGTGTCCCAGGCCGGGATGGATCCCCTGGGATAGCGGGAAGTGTCCCCAGGGGGGGTGGGAACCGCCCAGCCATTCCCACCCAAAGCATTCCATGAATCCCACCCCTGGTTTGAGCGGGGGGGTCTCTCGTGCCCCTCCCCAGGTCCAAACCTGACATCAAGATGGAGCCCAGTGCTGGCAGGCCTATGGATTACCAGGTGGGTGACAACGGGGTGTCCCCACCCCCGGCCCTGGGGGGGGGGGGGGGGTCACAACCAGGGACATTCCCCAGGGAACAGCTTCGTGCCGTGCCCTGTCCAAGCTGGATTTCCCAGGAGCTGGAGTTGAAATGGTGGATGGATAAACCCCAAAGCTGAGTTTCTCAGCTGGGCGTGTTCCCCGTGGCGGGGGGGCCCAGCCAAGCCCAAACTGAGCCCCCCATGGAAAGCTGCTCCCCCTTTCTCCTTGGAGGGACGGTGGGAGGTGTCCCAGCCCAGGGCAGGGAGGTGGGGGGGTGACCCTCCAGGTCCCTTCCAGCCCAGCCCTCTCCGGGGTTCTGCTGTGTTTGGGGCCGAGCTCTGACCCCACAGCTCGCAGAAATCCACGGGGTCTCCCCCTGCCTGGCAGCCCCCCACGCTCTGGGGGCTGAACCCACCGGGGTTTCCCGTGGGATCTCCCCCATCCCACCACCCAGCCCCCACCCCAGGCCCCTCCTGGGATGGGCTGAGCGGCCCCAGTGATGTCCTGGTGTGACCTGGAGGCCCCAGAGCCGCCCCCCCCCCGCCCCAAAAACACCTCCAAAGGAGGGTGGGGGGTGAACCCCAGCCCTGCCAGCGCCAGGGGGAGGAAAGGTCCCCCCAAACCCCCCCTGTGCCCAGGTCAGCGTCACCGTCATCGAGGCCAGGCAGCTCGTGGGGCTCAACATGGACCCCGTGGTGTGCGTGGAGGTGGGCGAGGAGAAGAAGTTCACGTCCATGAAGGAGTCCACCAACTGCCCCTACTACAACGAGGTGGGTGGGGTGGGGAAGGGGCATTTCCCGGCCCCTGGCGCTGCTTTGGGGTTTGACTCCCTCCACGGGGTGAGATCTGGGTGGGAAATGATGACTTTTGCCCGCTGGGGGTTCAGGAGGTGCCCCCCCTTCCCCCCGGGGGTAAATTATTCCCAGCTTTTCCAAGGGTTTAGCGCTTCCTTTACCCCTCCCCGGGGTGCAGGGGTGGGTGTTGGGGACACAAGGGCATGTCCCAGGAGCTGCAGGGGCCCCTCCCAGGGTTTTCCGACCCCAAGGATCCCTCACGGCTCCTCCTTCCCTTCCAGTACTTCGTCTTCGACTTCCACGTGCCCCCCGACGTCATGTTCGACAAGATCATCAAGCTGTCTGTGAGTGAGAGCCCTTCCCTGCTCCTTCCCCCAGGACATGGGCACAAAACAGCCCATTCCGGGGGGGATTTCAGCTCCTGAATTCCCTCAGATCCCGGGTCTGCACAGCTCCTGAATTCCCTCAGATCCTGGGAGCACACAGCTCCTGAATTCCCTCAGATCCTGGGAGCACACAGCTCCTGAATTCCCTCAGATCCTGGGAGCACACAGCTCCTGAATTCCCTCAGATCCTGGGAGCACACAGCTCCTGAATTCCCTCAGATCCTGGGTCTGCACAGCTCCTGAATTCCCTCAGATC